GTGGAGGTTGTAGTGTTTGATTGTGAAGGTGGTGATTAGTATGATGTTGTGTTTATGTGGAGGTGGTGGTTCGTGTTTGGTTGTGTTTGTGTTGAGTTGTTGGTGTGTGGAGGAGGTGGTGGTGGTGTGGTGGATGTGTTGGTGTCTTCATGTGTTGGTGTGGAGATGGTGATATTTGTGTGGTGTCTGTGTGGTGTCTAGTGGCGTCTGTGTGTGGTTTGTGGAGGTGGTGGTGTCTGTATAGAGGTGTTGTTGTGTAGTTGTGGAGGTGGTGGCTAGCTTGTGGTTGAGTTTATGTTGGTGTGTGGAGGTGGTGGTGGTGGTGTGGTTGTGTTTGTGTGGAGGTGGAGGTGGTGATGGTGGTGTGGTTGTACTTATGTGGAGGTGTTGGTGTCTATGTGGAGGTGTTGGAGTGTGAAGGTGTTGGTCTTGGTGATGTTATTTTGGCATTATGATTTTTCTTTGATTTGTGATATTGTGTCATTCCTATTTATGTTAATTAGTTTTTTGATGCTAGCAATATAATGGTGAGACAAAATAAGTCAGTTTATTTGCAATTTGTGATAAAAAGACAAAGGTAATATTTTGCAACCTTTGTCTCTTAGAGGTCGATCTAGGAAAAAGCTGACAACCTACTTCAATAAGGAATTCTAGCAAAACTTTTATTAAAAAATTAAAGAAAAGTATAGGCAGAGAGTATGATAGGATATTGTTAAAAAACAAGTGGGATCAGCTAAAAAAGAGTTGGAAAATCTAGTATGAATTAAGGTGAGGATTAATGGGTTTTGGGTGGGATCTGGTAAAGCGAACGATTGATGCTTTCAAGAATTGGTGGGCAGAGATACTTGCAGTGAGCATTTTTTAAATGTCTCCTATTTTTGCCAATTTTAATTTATATTAAAATTGAACTACATGTTATATGAATTTGTAGGCAGTGTCTGCTGTAAAAAAAATTAAATACATTGGAGCCGATCCCGAGTTAGAAGAAAAGTTGGATCGTATGTTTGGGGGTGGCACGCTAACGGGAAACAATGCAATGTCCCAAGTGACCCTGAAAATTTCAAAGTTGGCTAAACAGGTAATTCCATTGAAGGCCCTAGCCCAAACCTTTTTGAAGTTGAGTTCACAAGCCGGTTTAAGCATCCCAGGGTTGACAATAAAGCAGGAGTGGCTTTCCTTAGAAGCCATATCTCAAAGCTGCTGGCTTCATGCACCACCCCGACACATCACAAGAAACTTTTGTCCAGCGGGTTATGTGAATTCTGGATGCAACTCCAAAAGTTTTGGATGACATGTTATTGTATTTGTTCTCAATAAAGTTGCTTAAAGATTTAACCTAGAGAGAGATTATAATAGCGATGCTCACTGAACTTATTGTGGCTTACTTACGCGATTTTTATTGGAGCAGTGACATTTGAGGGACATTTTTGCAATTAGATTCTCGTGGGACATTTCTATTTGTTTATAGTTTTTCATGGTGCTTTGGATATTTAAACTGCTTTGGACATGCCACTTTACTGGAGATTTTTCATGCCTCGTTATGTTTTCTATTTACTTATATAATATTATTTTGCTTATGTTGGTTTTGTTCATAACTTTATATGATTGTAGCTAATTCATTGATTCTTATATTTATAAGAAACTAAGTGGGTTGGAGAAAAGGCTAATAAGGCTAAGGAGATTGATAATTTAGGTTTTAAACTTTGGTATTCTGGTAAGAGTCGCACTAGAAATGGTGTAGGTGTAATTATAGATAAGAGTTTGAAAGATAATGTTGTAAAAATTAATAGAGTTGGTGATAGAATTATAGCCCTTAAGATTATCATTGATACTAAGATTTTTAATATTATAAGTGTTTATGCTCCTCAAGTAGGTTTAGATACGGGTCTAAAGATAAATTTTGGAATGACTTAGAAGACTTAATACAAATGATACCTCTTAAAGAAAGAATTTTTATTGGAGGAGATTTAAATGGACATGTTGGTAGAGTGGTTGAAGATTTCAAAAATATCATGGTGGCTACGTTTTGGAGTAACTAATGAAGAAGGTAGAGCTATTTTAGATTTTGCTTTAGCGTATGATTTTCTTATGACTAATACTTTATTCAAGAAAAGAGATGAACATCTTATTACTTATAAGAGTGGATCTAATAAAACAGAAATTGATTATTTTCTTATGAGAAAAAGAGATCATCGCGATTGTAAAGATTATAATGTCATTTCAAGTGAAAATTTAAGTACTCAACATCGTTTATTAGTTTTAGATTTTAAGATTAAGAATTGTAAAATAAAAAATACTAAGACTCATCATTGCAAAATTAGACGGAGAAACTTAAAAGACACAAATAAAATTATTTTTATGAGTAAAATTCAAGATTTCATAATTTGGGATACTCATGAAGAAGTAAATGTGATGTGGGATAAAGTAACAAACACAATTAAACGTGGAATAATAATGTGCAAGAAATGATAAAATATAAGAAGTTATGTTATAAAAATTGGTTTAAATGTAAAAGCTTAGAGAATTGGGAAAAATATCAAACGGCCCGCGGGGAGTTTAAAATAACAATCTGTGACACTAAAAATTCTGCTTTTATTGATCTTTATAATAGATTAGATACTAAGGAGAGTGAAAAATATATATGAACTAGCCAAACAAAGAGAAAAAAAAAAGTAAAGATTTAACTCAAGTAAAGTGTATTAAAGATGAAAATCAAAAAGTACTTTTTTTAGAAAAAGATATTCAACATAGGTGGGTGAGTTACTTTGATGAACTTTTTAATGAAGTTTCTGAAAATATGATCGACCTT